GGGCCGGGAGACGGAGCGCCTTGCCGGGCTGGGGCCTGGGAGCTTGTTTCACCCCTCACCAGTGGGTATTGCTCAGAGACGGCTCCTGGAGAAGCAAAATTCTCCTGCCGTTCCCCTCTTGCTATAGGCAGAGCTTCCTTTGTTTTCTTCAAGAGTAAAAATGTTTGATAGTTGTCTTCCTCCCCCCCACCCTGTTTGCTACCCTGGGCGTGAAGGCTGCACACATATTCGAGGAGTTGGCCCTAGAACTGCGTGCTGACTCTCCTCCGTAAAACAACTGCGTGATCCAGCCCTGATACCCCATCGGGGAATTTTGCTCTCGGTGCCGGCAGAGACAAATTTAGTGAAGTGAGTAAGAACAAACCGCACGTATCTCTTGCACAACCCACAAGGTGCATTTCACAATACTCGGAAAGCAGTAGAGATCTGTTTGCTCCTAATGACTTTAGTCCCACAAGCTGGGATGAAAATTCATGAGACTATTTACGTGGGTCTAGAAATAGCCAGGTCAGGTCTGCATAAGTTTCAGGCTTAACGAGTATTTGCTTCCAGGCACTAAATCTGAGTCTGTCTACCATGAAAAATTTCCGGCCCTTTGCACTGCCCTAGCAGTAATCCAAAACTTTTCTGGCTCCCCTGAAAAAGACGGAGATGGGACGGAGGGATGGGCTCCTCCAGTGCATCCAGAAATGCTATATGTGATAAAGACCCAGAGGGGGAAGGGATACGCAACTCACGGGCGTGGGGTAAGGATGTATTTGCCATTTGTGGTTTATGTTGTTAGCACTGGGTGGCCAAGGGGCCTGGAAGTGGTCTTTCACTGCTGATAAATCTTTCACTTGAACCCAGCCCCGTTTGGTCATGTCACCAAAAAGCTACCACCTGACTGCTCCCTGGCAGCATCTCTGAACAGAGGGCGAAGGAAGCCTAGCTTCGGGCTGGCCCCGTCCTCGCAGCACACCCGGGGACCGTGTCTCCCACAAAGGGCTGCGGAGGAGGCGAGGTGGCACCTACTTGCCTGAGCTGGGCAGCCGGCGGCTGGGCTTCTGACGTGAGGCAAGGCCAGCCTGCCCCGTCCCGTGCTGCTTCCCTCAGCATCGCTTTCTGCCCTTGCTGTGTAACCTTGAGGTGGGTTCTTTCCTGCGGAGTAGTTCAGGAGGAGCCTTTTCCAGAATGGGCTTTCTGTGGTACAGATAGGTCCCAAGCAATCGCCGAGTGAAAAAACGTGGTTTGAAAACCCTGGATTGAGGTCATGCAGGGGTACAAACAAGGTACTTGCACACTCTTGTCATTACAGGTGCTTTAGGAGTATGCAGGTGCCTTAACTCAAACACAAGTTTTCTTGCTTACGGCGATCACTTCCTGAGCCTTCTGTTCATAGAAATCCTTATGCAAGACCGGGAACATCACTGGATTTATTCATGATTTCTCACACGTTGCTGCGGTGCTTGCTCCTCTCAACCAAAATACTCAGGGATTTTGGACTGAAGTCCCAAGGATGCTGCTTATGGCCAGGATCTGGTACAGCGCAGATCATTTTAAATGATGGTTTAAAATGAGCTAAGCTGGAGAACTTTCAGCGTTTCATTCTGCACTGTGCTGACCTTGGCAAGCGATCGCCTGTGATGTACCCAGAGTAACACTAGCAAATCACATGTCGGTAATGTACACCTCTCTCTGGCTGGCAGACATTTTAAGAGTTGCAAAAAGGTCAAGACTTCTGAGAAGCAACGTTTCAGAGAGTGAGGAGAAGTATCCCGTCTGTGGGATGTTTGGCCACAGCCTCCTCAGTCCTACTAGACTAGATTACAGTCTGAGGGTTTTGTTCTATGCCTGTAGGAAACAAGCTCTTAATTACAGGACATCATAAACAACGCTCCCGTGAGCCAAAATGTACTGCGATCCTCGGAAGGAGTGGAAGTTAGCACCGTGAAACCACCTTCAGCCCGTGGATCGGGAAGAAGATGATGTAAAAGACTGCTGTCTTGGGAGATACGCTGTTGTGGTCAGATTTTGCATATTCAATAATAATAATAACAATAATAATAATAGTAATAATAATGTGGAACCGAAAAGAAATATTTGTATTCTGTGCGACTCACATTAATTTAGGGAAGGCTGTGCCCACAAAGACGTGAGGAGATGATGGTCTAGAAAACCTGAGCTCCACCTCTCTCAGCTCTGCTGGCTGGCTGAGTGCTGCAGGCTCCCTGACGGCAGGCAGTGGTCTCGCAGGCAGGTGGAGGGAGGCCTCGTAGCATCAGAATAATGCGACACAGAAGCTGCAAGTTTTCTGGCTGTCACCCACTGCCACGGATGGCAAAATGCTGTGCAAATATTAAAAACAAAATCAATTTTTTATTTTACCTCTGAAAAGCATGCTTTCTGGGCTTATATTCTGACTGAAGGAGACAGTTGTGCTTTTTTATTTGTGTGTGTGAAGACCTTCTCGTATCTTTTGTTAAGAAAACAAGCAGAGATCTTCAGTGAAATACATATTTAATCTCAGATCGAAAAGCCCACTGTACATTACAAACTAACACAGGAACCTAGCAAATATCTCTTAAATACAACGTAAGGACAAAAATCCTTCTTGCTCTGTGTTTGTAT